TGTCTGGAGATCAGTGTCCCTGGTTAGCTGGTAACCAGGGACGCTGATCTGTCTGCAATTGGCCGGAGCCAGCCGTAAGATCACGGCTGGCTCCGCCCAGCTGTCAGAAGCAGGCTGTCAGCACGGCTCAGCCGAGCCGATGCATATGCGTTCAGCTCGACTGAGCCGCTCGGCCACGTTCGGGAGCTGTACGAGCTATTGTGAATAGCCCGTACAGCACCCCTTCGGTTCTACTAAATGCTCCACATTATGAAAAACGGCTTCAGAAAAAGTAACCATAAAAAGGTCAGTTGCTAATAGACCCCTGGCTGTCATGCCAGGGCCAGAAAATCCTACCACAGCGATGACGTTAGGGCAAGTGGCAATGGCTTTTATATATTCCTAAAATATTTAATTTCAAAGCTAAAGTCCCTATTTTGGAAGAGCATGCTTGCCTAATAAAAAAAAAAAAAAAAAAGCTAATCCTGTATAGCAGGAATTTGTATAGCAAACACAAAAACAGAGGGCCCAATTTTAAATTTGCCTGATAGATAAAAACTTTTTTACACCACATTTAAAACTGCAATACATTTTTAAGTTGTGTATCTCTATCCCATTTCCAGACAACATGACAACCTTTCAGGCCTCACACCTCTGACAGTCTGAAAAGTGCTAATGTTATGAAGCTTGTCTGCATCAAGCTTGCCATGTAATGCAAATTAGTCTCATTAAAACCAGTCTCCCCCCGGTGGGTTTTCACTTCCCTCCAACGCTCACTGTCAGCCTCCTGAATATCTCACCTACACCTCTCAATAACTCCAAAAGGAAGCAGACGCATGCTGTGCGAGGCTGGTAATTTTATTGGGTTCCTCAACCTTTAAAAAATCCATTACAAGCCTGGTCTGGTTTCTGAGATCCTTTTTTGCAGGGAAATTAAGGCAAACGTTTTTATGTGGCCCAACAGTGTCTGTTGGCTGCAAGAAGAATTTATACACAGCAGAGTCATTAGAACAAACCTGCTCCCATTAGAATATAATAGCCGTCACATGGGACACAAAGCAGACCAGGACTCAGCTCCCGAGTAGGCACTCATAAAGTAGAGGGGGGGAGTCTTGCCAGCTACATTTCACACGCTCTGGTTATTGAACAGTTTTGAAGTTGAAACTTTCCTTCTCGCACCTTAAATTTAAAATGATTATACAAGCCTTCACTCTATTCACCTTGCTGCTTGGAACATATTAACCACTTGCTCACCAGGTTGTTAAACCCCCTTCCTGTCTAGGCCATTAGCATTCGGTGCTGAGGTACTTTGACTGACATTTATTCAGTCATGCAACGCTGTACTGAAATTAATTATATACCATTTTTTGGGACCAATGGAGCTTTCTTTTAGTGATATTAAATCACCACTGGGATTTTTTTTTTTTTTAACTAGATAGTATAATGAAAAAAGTGCATATTTTTGGTGCATATTTTTTTATATTTTTGGTAAAATATAAAAGGTTGGGTAAGTAGACACCATACATGTCAAGCTTTAACCTCTTGCCGTCCGCCCGTAGTAAAAAAACAGACGGACGGCACTGCTACATCTGCGGGTTGCCGTCTCCAGACGGCAATTTTTTTCTGCTCGCGCGCGCCCCTGTTACCGGGTGTTTCACATATAGGCGATCAGCAGGTCCATAGCCCGCCGATCGCCTATGTGCTCGTTCACGGACCGGCTCCGAGGGCGTCAGGAGGAGGAGGACGGGAGATCAGCTCCTTGCTGATCTCCGTCTGGGCTGTGAATGCAGAAGTGATGTGTATTACTTCAGCTTCTTCTCTCACCTGAGAGAAGAAGCTGATAAAAGCAGATCTCTGCTTCATCAGCTTCTTTTGGGGTCCACAGGTGATATTAGGGGTCCTAGAGACACCTAATATCTCCATAAAGAGGACCTGTCAGTGTCAGTGACCTGTCAGGGGATTGTTATCCCCCTATATAATAGCAATAACAATAAGTGCTAAAAAATAAATATAAATAAAAAAAAAATAAAAGTCACATAAAAAAAGGGGAAAAAACCCCCCCAAAATGTTTAACTCCCCCACCCTTACGCGCCTATAAACGTAAATACGCGTCCAGTGCCCCAGCGCGCAAAAATTACAATTGCGCTACACATGTTACATATCGCCGCGAACGTCGCAGTGAGAGCGATCATTTTAGGGCCATCAATCACTGATAACACTAAACTGATGAGCGGTAACAGCTTTTAAAGCGTCGCCTATGGCCAATTTTGGGTATTATCGTTTTTTGAGGTTTCGCGCGCGCACGCAATTTTAAGGCTTGACATGTTTAGTGTCTTTTTACCCGACGTGACCCCATCTTTTATATTTTACCAAAAAATTGGGTAATAATAAATGTTTTATCATTTAATATAGGGGAAATTTTTTTTTTAAATTTCGGTAATTTTTCCTTAATATAGTTAAAAAAATAAAAGCCCCAGTGGTGAATAAATACCACCAAAAGAAAGCTCTATCTGTCCCCAAAAAAGGGTATAAAATTAATTTCAGTACAGCGCTGCATGACGGAATAAATGTCAGTTAAAGTACCGCAGCGCTGAATACTGAAAAATGGCCTGGATGGGAAGGGGGTTTAACACCGCGGATGTCAACTGGTTAAAATTGCGTGCACCTGCAAAAAACTACCATACCCAAAATTGGCCTTAGGCAATGCTTTCTTTTACCGCTCATCAGTTTAGTGTCATCAGTGATTGATAGCCCTACATTTATTGCTCTCAGTCCGATGTTCACGGTGATATGCAACACGTGTGGCGAAATCGTTTGTGGCGCGTATTTATGTTTATATGTGCGTGCATGCGGGGGAGGGGCAGGGGGGCTTACATTTTTTGTGCTTATTTTTACTTTTTTCTAAATATGTGATCTTCATTTTTTTCACTTTAACTTTTTTTACACTTATCACACAGGGGGCTTGTTAGTTAACAAAAGTACAAATGACAGGTCCCCTTTATGGAGACATTAGGGGCCTCTAAGACCCCTATTGTCACCTAGGGACCCCCAAAGAAGCTGATGAAGCAGAGATCTGCTTCACCAGCTTCACCACCCAGAGAACTGACAGCTAAAAGGTGGAAGTGATGTAATACTCTTTACAATGTGCAGATTGGCTGCAGCCCTGTGAAATCCCATAGGCTGACAGCCAAGCATCAGGGACCCACATGAAAACCTGGCATGGATTTCCGGATATTGTGACAGACATAAAAAACTTTCCATGGCTTAACAACTGCAGAAAAAATGTTGATAATGGCTGGTTACTACAGTTAAGGTGCCCATATACTGGAAATATGTTTGGAGATCACACACAAACGGCCTTTCCAAAGAAAATCAAACAGTTGATGGTATATTTGATGGAAACTTTCTCTCACTGAACGAAAATCAATGAATCAGTGGGGTTTTCTTTTGTCAAAAATCTCAGCAAGAACACAGCACATTCATAAAAGGAAATTATTTCCGTTGTTCGTCAAAAATTGGTTGGTTAGTATGGCTAACAAATGATTTCCGAAATCGAGTTTTCAC